TTAGAACACTTCTTGGAAAATACGCAGTTAATATAAGCGCTTATAATATTTTTATAGATGATTGTATTATTTTATCTGTCTGAAACACCGTAATATATCAAATAAACTAAAAAAAACCAGAATATAAAATAGTTACAAACTTGATTATAACGACTTACTAACATATAATAAGTCGTTATAATCATATTTGTAAGGTATTTTTCTAGTATAACTATCCACAAATATTAAAGTGTGTCTAGTTATTTTATTTGATTTTTACTAAAAATTATTTAATTAAAAGAAAACAGTTAATTTTAATCAATTTTTTATGGTACTTTTTTCTTACATGTGCAGCTTGATTCGATGTTATACTACAATTAAATTTACAACAAGAATTTTCCATGACAGAAAGAATTTTTCAACTAAGTTCAAAAACAAAAGTTGCCGATCCTCAACGGAACGGATATTTTGAAATAGCATCTACGGAATTCTACGGAATTTTTTATACTAATCTACGGATTTGAAGAAATTTGATTAAAGGTTCTCAGAACCGGTACATCGGAACCCAAACCGGAACCGATACCGAAACTGGAACCGTACCGAAAAGAGGAACCTTTATAAGAACCTAAATGAAGAACCATAACCGAAATTGATAACGGTATTCATTCCTGCAGCATCGTAGATAGAGAAGAGAATAGTTTTCTCTGTTCTACGCACAGCATCTTCTAAGTCTGTGGAGCATTGTGCAGCATATATAACTTTTTTTATAACTGGCTTTACGGCTCTGGGCTCTAGCACTTCGGACCCTGAAGTTACAATGTATAAATTAGAAATGTCACGAACGATACATTCATCAAAAATTCATTTTCACATTGATCCAAGTGCATCCAATACTTTTTCTGCCACCAGGTCAGCGCCACTTAAAAGTGAGGTATAATATTTCACAGATATCATAGCGGGGAAGTTAATTTGTTCGGAAAATGTAGAGGTTAATGTTTCTTTCTGTGTCATTAGCTATATTTTATAACGGTAACATTAAAAATAAATAAACGAAACCACAGATTTTCATAAAAGTAGAATTTTTAAAAAAGTAAAAATTTGCAAAAAATTAAAGAACAAACCACTGAGGCATTTTTTTGTGTATTAATATAATACTTTTAAAACGGATAAACATTTATTAAAATATAACTTCTCAATTAAATGACATTGTGCAACGAAAAACTTTACCTTAGTTTCAACTAGCGACATCTGGTGAACAGAAAATTATTAGCCCTCATTTAAACTCCACAAAATATTTTTATTTTTTCATTTAAAAGTTTAAAATACAGAGATACGATTTAAGCAACACAACAGACTTTGGCATATATGTCAACTTTACTTCCCGGTACGAACAATGGCAGCACTTCAAATATATATATATATATATATATATATATATATATAGGTTAGTGTCACGCCCTAATTATTCCATCGCCAATCTAGTATATACTACCTTTGGTTAAAATCGAATGCAACATGCGTATTATCCTCTTAGTAGTCTGTGAATGCGACTATACAGTAAGGATACCACATATATGCAACAACAAGTAATAGTAGTCCATAGAAATGTAGTAAAATTAAATATTAAATTAAAAACCGTAAATTAAAAAAAGATAAATTTTCAAAAAAAATAAATATCAAAATAAAGTCAGTAAAAGTAAACACTTTGTTTAGACTACGTACCTTGACCCCTTGGAGGAGAGGCAACGTTGCACTCGGGCAAGACGGCATGGCAGTTGGTGGTCGCAGCGTTATTGTCGGCACGGCCTTTGATTGGTTTGACAATGTGCGACGAAATAAAAACTCACTCACTAAACTATTTATTTTTACCGCCACATTTTCATTTGGCGATAATGGAACTGAGCGAAATAAATAATGCACATTATTTGCAAAATTTAATGGAATCCTAAATTTTAAAATTTTCAAAATCCGCAACGTTCTTAAATGAAAAAGTTACATCCCTGTACAATGTTGTCCCGAAGCCTACTCAACAAATTTCGTTCAGGATGCAGAGTTTTTAATTTGTCAAATGTGGTGACAATACGTTTGCACAGTTCATCATCGGTTCCAGAGATCTTTGAGTACATTTCATTTTTTATAAAGCTCCATAAAAAAAGTCTAGAGAAGTGAGGTAGGGAGACCGAGCTGGTTACCTGCGGGGGCCATAGCGCCCTATCCATTTTTAGCCGAACATGGTTTAGCCGCTCGCTGGTAAGCTACCACAGACAATCCTTCTAAATATTCTGTTATTGAGCCGTTAAGAATATTGAGAAACTTCTGTGTATTCAGGTTTCCGGTAATGAAAACAGGCCCGATTATTTGATTTCTGTGAATGCCTGCACAAACATTAATGGAAAATCGGTATTGACGAGTTGACGGCTCTGTGGCGGAGTGGCTTAGTAATGAGTTGCAGCGCTAAGGGCCGCTGGTTAGAATACCGCATGGAACAAGTATTTGTATGGCCTACAAATAATTGTTTCAGGTCTGGATGTTTGTCCTTGTACAATTTATGTTTGTAAACTGCCTCCACGAACAGGGATCTGATCGAAATGGTCTAAGACTCGTTGTTCGAAATAGGATGGAAAATGACGCGACTTCATGAGCGTTGGGCACTATCTGCTGATTTTCCCTTATTCTTTGGATAGCTTGGAGTTGCACCCTTTCTCTCACGATAAGTATGCAGAATCATCGCTGAATTTCGGTGGCATTCACCATACAATAAAAGCATGTCTATAGACTCTGCCGCATTGAAAAATGCTGTTGTCTTGGCATCTTGTTCAAAAAACACACGCGTACACTCAAAAGTCAAGTAGTGTCACTATCACAGTAAAAAAATAATAAAAATTAACTTAATCTGTCCATTTCATTAGTAAAAAAATGTTTAACTAATTATTATTATCTTACATAAAATAAATCACTTGAAACAACGCGCGCAAGTAGCAGAACGCACACACACTATTCCGGAAGATTCGCAGTGATGGTAAACTGAAAGCGAAACTTCCAAATTCCAAAATGGTGAAAATAATAAAAGTAATAAATTGGGTGGGGACACGGTGCAATTATCCTTTGTGGATCCTTTTTTTACACATACTTATTTTCTACATAAACAAATTATTTATCATCATCATCATCATTACAGCCCTTCACAAGTCCACTGCTGAACATTGGCCTCCCCCAAGGAATGCCAAAAAGCACGGTCCTGAGCCACATGCCTCGATCCATCGATTTCCTACATGTCTTACCAGGTCGTCACTCCATCTAGTGGGGGGACGCCCTACACTACGTCCGCCGATACAAGGCCGCCACGCGAGAACCTTTTTTCCCGTCGGTTGTCGGTTCTTCGATTTATATGGCCAGGCTATTGCCACTTCATCTTATTAACTCGTTGGGCTATGTCGGTCACTCTGGTTCTCTCTTCTGGTCGTAAACATACTCGTCAACAACTTCAAGCTTAGTGCTCCTAACAACTACCGGCATAGGTCTGACATGGACGTCATACATGATCTTAACAAATCATTTGATTAGAAGAAATTTTGATTTTTAACAATTGACAAATTATTGATTGTTAAAAAGATTTATTTTTGTACAATTGAACTTACGAAACTACCGTTTTGTGACTTCCATAGGAAACGGTTAAGTAGGTATGACTATTTTAATTGGTTGTTTTTATGGGTTTTTAATCATGCCAAAATAATTTATTATCCCTAAATCTACAAGAACACACTGAAACAAAAAGCTTTAAAGTATAAGGTCGTAGGGTTTTTAGAATTATCAGCACGATAATTCTAAAAACACCATGTCCTTAGTATTTAAAGCTAAACATATTTTTTTTGTTTATCGATCATTATTCTCTTTGAAAGAAGCTAATGGTCAATAACATGCGTCCTACTCTACGAAATAAGCGCGCGCACTTGCGCCGTCACCTTTGAAGCACGCCGCGTGCCTCATGCCACCTGTTTATGGACGCTGCCTAAAGACACCGCTGTTGACGTACATAGTCTCACGTTATGATAGTACGTCAGAGCGATAGAATCGTCGCTTTTTAATGTTCAAGGATTGAAGTTCATTCAATCATTGACCTATTGACCCAATTCTACAAAGAGTTCAAATATGTTCAAAATTATAGCTCTACTTTTTGACCTAATTGCTGGACCGATTTCGTTCATTTTTTGTATATCGTCAGCAAAGGCGATAACAAGTATGTGGTTTCATTTTTTTGTATATAATATGTGGGACCCATACTTAAATTGCACGAGGTTTTGCGGGAATTGGACTTTCTGTGTATTGTTGCTCCCGTTTTATCATTTAAATAATAATTGTTTGAAATACATTTTGATACGATTTTATATATTAAGTGTCAGCATGTGAACTATTAGAGGCAATGACGATACAAGTGCGCCGATGTTGGTATAAGTCTGAAGTTATTTTGATATTTTTTGTTTTGTTTCCTGTGATGGTGTGCCGTGTTGATAATAAGAAGTGTCTACGTTTAGGCATTCTATGAACTTGGGTTGTTGCTGTCTCCAAAATCTCCCTAAAACTTTGCAATGTGATGCATCATTTCACATATGATAATTTTTTTTATTTAAAACACTTAAGATTAGCCTGCATAGTCTAAAACCTTTGCTTGTTCTAATTGGCATAACGTAACAAAAATATATTGTACCATAGAGAGATTACGAGTTACGACTTTACGACAGACTAAATAATAAAATTTAACAAATCAGTTCTTCAGCCAAGATGGACGTTCGTTTTACTAGTAAAAATTCTTGAGCTGCTTTATGTGTGGTGAGATATTTATAAATCTGACCTATTTTTATTTCCTACCTGGTTAACGCACATATCTAATTTGTAGAGTTAAAGATCTAGTCGATAAAAGAAATTTTTTGCGCATGTTACATTAGCCCCGCCGCGTAGATAGAATTTTGCTTATTTTATTAATTGATTAATGTAAATTATCTTATAGATAATATAACAACAAAATGTATAACGGCATTGGATTAACGACTCCGAGAGGATCGGGCACTAATGGCTATGTTCAGAGAAATTGGGCCACTGTGAGGAAAACTAAGGATTCTGTGAATTATCGGACTGAAGAAGAGATAGCAAAGTTGGATTCAGCATCAAACAAGCAGCCTAACCGTGAAATACTTGATCATGAGAGGAAGAGGAAGATCGAAGTAAAATGTGCAGAGCTTGAGGATAGCCTGGAAGAACAGGGGTAAGTTTATATGATGTTTATACTTAAACCATGTTTACCTAGTTAAACCTCTAGAGGTAACTATAGATTCTTATCAAACAGTAACATAAATGCTACTAAAACTAGAGTAACTAAAATTTCAATTAACACTTGTAAAAAAGTTTATGATTAAAAAATAATATTGTCAACATTTAATAATCAATCATAGTTAACTAAATAAAACGGAAATTTTCAATCCATAATAGTGATCTAAAGATACATTAATATTTACTAATCATGAATACAATTAATACATTTTATTTTGAAAGCGTCTATCAAATTAATTAGAAAATCAAGTTTAATACATTTGATTCAAAATGATATGGCTGCTTGTGCACTACACGGTAACATTTGTCTATAATATTCGTTTTTTTTTAATGATCTAATATAGCAGACCACCATTTTGTATGCACAAGTGTGTGTTGTTGTGCAGTATTATTTGTAATATTACCGTCCAAGCTTTTCATTTACATTCCAGAGAGAGTTTGTCAATGTTACCATTTGTTGCATAAAAAAGATTGACTTCTTTAAATTATAATTTGAATTCAATTCAACTGTATGTTTTTCTTTTATATGTACCTCTATAACTTTTTTCTGGGTGAACCAATTTTGATGTTTCTTTTTATATTGAAAAATTGAAAGCTGGTGCTTCTCATGTCGTCCCATATAAATTTGATCAAGGCCTGACCAGTAGTTAGTTCTATATATATAGTATATGTAGTTATACATATATACACACATATATTTATATATATAAGAGAATTCAACCTATGTACTGACTCATCACAATATTACTGGTATTGAATCATAAGGCTTAGAGACTTGAAATTTGGTAAGAATATTCCTTTTGCCAAGTAGAGGTCAGCTGAGAACGGGTTTTACAAATTTCTACCCACAAGTTCAGCAATCCGCCTCTGATTTGCACATATGATTTCTGGATCTTGACAACAGCTCCACCTACCGGGTCCAATTGTGAATCTACACCATCCAGGGACTCATTCAAATATACATATAAGAATTCATCAGAATCGGTTTAGCTAGTTTTGAGTTTTACTGAGACTAATGGACAGTAATTGAGTAATTAATGAAAAAATAATGCATTTCACGCTTTAAAAGTAGGGTAGGGTCTTGTATTTTAGACTCTCTAAGTATATGTATTTTAAAAAGCTATTATTTTTTAATTTACAAAGAAATGTGATATTAAATTTGTAATTGTTTTCACGCATTAAAGTTCTATGTTGATTTTTAATTAATTTCCCTTATGTTTTTACCATATGAAATCATGTCTTTCTAAATTGATTAATCGCCTATTCCGTTTCCTATTTTACTACTCCAGAGTATAATGTCATGTAGTAATTGATATATTTTGGTTTCAATTCATATTATATGATGCAATCTTTTGAAATTAAAAGTCTTTGACTTTAGTATCCTGCAGCACAAATATTTGATACTTTTAATGTAAATCAATATACACAAATTTTTTGTTTGATGCACTTTTTTTTTTTTGATGATATTGATTGATTTTTGATTTGATGATTGATGACTTTTTATGAGGAAATATCTGGAAATTAATTTTTTAAAGTTTTGAGGTTTATTAGTTATAAATGAAGAACATATTTATTGCCTACTAAATAAAATAAGAAAATATGACACAGATAGATGCAAGATGTAACCACAGTAACTTGTCTCTTTTTAATCTTTTATTCATTTTAACATTATATTTACAACTGAAGACTGGAATTTAGCACAGAGAGTGGTAACAGTCGATAAAATCCATTGGGCCATTCTAGCTTCCTTCTCTATGTGGTGGCAGGACCTGATGACATTTTGCCGGCACTCCCACAGTGGGGAGGTGAAGGCCTAATAGTAGACTTGTTGCCATAATGAGAGCATGTCTGGCCTTCAGATATGTTCCTAGGTGATGGAAGGAAGTGAAACTTACAGTCATACCCAAACCAGATAGAGCGACTATATAGACCCCTTTGCCTCATATCCTTTCTCCTAAAGATAATAAAGAGGGTGTGTAAAAAGGATTCAAGGGGGTCGGTGCTAATGAGCATACAGCTACACGATAAGGAACATGCCTACAGCTTAGGCAAATTGACAAAATCGGCACTTCACCAGGTAATAACAGGAACTTTCATAAATATAGAAGGTGCTTTTGAAAGAGCAAACTTCTCTAACATAAAAGTTGCACTAAGTAGACATAGAGTTGAACCAGCACTGATTGACTGGATAGAAAACATACTCAGTTCACGAACAATAAAGATTGCTGGTGAACCTCAAGCACTCCAAATAAAGAAAGGCTGCCTACAGGGTGGGGTTCTTTCAACTCTACTATGGTATATGGTCATAAACTAACTTATTAGAAAATTAAATGCCAATCACATCTATACAATTAGTTATGCAGATGACTTGACAATACTGGTATCGGAAAAACAGCAAGCATGGTGTGCGACTTCACCCAAGCAACTCTCCGTATAGTGGAGAGTTGGTGCAAAGGATATGACAACTGTTAAGCCAAATAAAATGGTTCTAGTAATGTTCACACAAAAACAAATGTTGAATAACTATTACCTGGCAAGTCTTTTCAGCACAAAACTCCAGCTATCGCCTGAGGTAAAATACTTAGATCTAACCTTGGACAGTAAACTCAACTGGAATAAACACATAGAAAACAAAATCAACAAGGCTAGTATAACTTTCTGGCAATGCAGAAACATGACTGGCAAACGATGGGGTCTGAAGCCGAAAATTATACTGTGGCTGTACAAAACTGTAATTTGGTCCATGATCATATACGGCGCTTGGATATTGAGGACCAAAACGAATGAAGCCGCCACTATAAAGAAGCTTCAGCGTTACCAGAGACTGGCATGTATGGCTGCCATTGGCTGCTGGTGGACTACACCTACAACCGCAGCAGCCTTAGAAGCTATGCTGGAGCTAACCCCACTTCACCCACACATACAACAAAAAGCCACTTTAACTGCCATTAGACTCAAGACCCTAAACCTTTGGAGTAAGAGTAGAGTCCCTCATACAGGTATAATCGATAGAATTTACACAAAACTTCTTATCTTACAAGCCAAGTATGATAAGATCCCCAAACAATTTGTGTTTTATAAGAAATATAAGATACAATTAAATGAAACTATCCAGCCAGAGGGAGTAAACCCAAAAGAGCTTGGAGTTTTTATGGATGGTTCTAAAACAAATGAAGGTGCAGAATCTGGAACTTTCTCGGAAGACCTCAATGTCAGCATAATGTACACCGCTGGGTGCCCACTACACAGCCTTTCAGGCAGAATGTATGGGTATCATCCCAGTGGCCATAGTAATAGATTTAGTTTAGTTTAGCTTACGACAGGCTGTTTTCCCCAACTTCACGTCTATGCGCGTATTTTGCGTGTGGGCAGGAATAATGTGATTATTCGAGCCGTGAGATCTCCCCGAAGAAGCTCAACAGTCCTTTGATGTTGCATGCAACTTCGGGGAGTGATCCTGGCGTGCCGAGATGTTAAGCCCGGTACGTAGCGACCTCCGGACATTTCAGTAGCACGTGGGCCGCCGTTCCTTCCTCCCCCATACATGCCCTGCACAGGGGACGACTATCTGTAACACCTATAGTAAATAAATGTTTGTTAAAGGTGCCGTGTCCTGTGATAGCACTTGTTACTATCGTAATCTGCGGCTTGTTCAGTCTCATTAGAACTTTGGTTAAAAAACTGTTTATTTCAGTCAGGGCCTCCCTAGCTTGTCTACAGTCTACTAGATTTTTCCAAAGTTGAGCGTGTTGATTAGTGAAGTGTCTACATACCAGTGAACGAATGTTACCAAAGGGGATTGGTATGATTGGTTCCGCCCTATAGTGGTCAGAGCCGATCCTCTTCTGGCCAGTTCGTCTGCTGCATCGTTGCCTCTAGATCCACTGTTTCCCTTTATCCATTGCAGTCACATTGTTGTTTTTACATACCTCAATTAATCGTTGATAGCATTCATGTATGAGTCCCGAATACTGTCGGTCAGTATTCTGATGGAGAAGTCATTAACCTTCCTAGCATCTATTGCTATGGCCGCTTGAATGATACCCATACATTCCGCCCGAAAGACTGTGTTATAGGTACCCAGCGGCGTGCATATGTGGATATGAGATAGTGTAGTGTTGCTGGCATCTTCAGAGGTCGCTACATACAGGGCTAAACATTTCGGCATACCGGGACCACTCCCCGTAGTTGCTCGCAACATCAAAGGACTGTTGAACTTCTTCGGGGAGATTTCATTTAGTTATCTTCACGCATAATCCCAGACGGGGTAGCCAGAGAGAACAGATCGCCAAGTGTCACGATCCTTGCATACCTCTTTCGCTTCTTTCAGATTCATTATCTTCTTCATACATGCACGTCTAGGTATCCGAGTACTCTTGACCCTCCCCTCTTCGAGCAATTTGCTCACATGGTCTTCTAAAGTTAGTCTCGGTCTACCTCGACACCTTTTAATATTTACTTTCGCGCTATATATTTTCTTCACAATTCGGTCTTCACTCATTCGCTCAACGTGCCCAAACCATCGAAGCACGCTCTTATCAATTTTTGTGATAAGGTCATCTTTCAAACCTGCCATATTGCGAATCTCTTCGTTTCGCTTTCGGTCGGCCATGGTAACGCCGCACATTTTACGAAGAGATCGCATCTCCACTGCATTTAACTTGCTTTTATTCTTCTTCTTCATTTCATGGCTTGAAAAATCACAATATTCCTGCCCACACGCAAAATACGCGCTTAGACGTGGAATTGCGGAAAATAGCCTGTCATAAACTAAACTAATCATTATATTGAAACGGAAAATATGGATATTCTAAAATATAAGTTATTCCGTTTTCATTATTGTAAGTCTTGGTTTATGAACCAGATGCGTATCTGCCTGAAATTCGAAAATTGTTTCTTTAATAATATTAAATTTTGTGCACATGTGCGTTGTGGCATATCGTCATTGTTTTTTTTTGGAATAAGTGAAATGTTGACTACAATTGTCAACCCTCATTTTATGTTAAACTCCACCAGGCCGTTTAGGTCACAGAGCGTGACAAAGAAATAGGCAGTATTATTCTCTTTGGTTTCAGTCGGGTAAAAAAACGAAATACGAATTTAAAGTAGAACCAGAAATACGTATTTTAAGTATCTACCATCAAATCAGAGGACTACATTTTATTCCGACTGGCACGAGCATTCGGCCGGTGTCTTCCACAAATGTGCTGTCGCCTCCATAACCATAGATGCTGGGGATAAGCAGATCAATAATATGCCTTACCAAGAGTTGCAGAGAATAAGTCTCTGAGAAACAAAGATAACGACCATTTACTTAAAAAGTATATCACTCAATCAAGGGATAAGTCTTATGCTGGATTTATTAATAAGTTGCTTAGATTTTCTTAATTTATATATATTTTATAAGCTTAAATTGTTACTATGAGAAACATTTGTAGGGTACTTTAATATTTGACTTTGGCTAGGCTAAAGGATGCCCCAAAATTATAACAATTATAAGAAGAGGCAACCTGAGAATTAGACAGAGACCCATTTTGGTTAAAAAATATAAGAATTTACAGGATTTATGCAAACATGCAATAATGATGACAATGATGGCAAATAATGACGAGGATAATTGTTATTTGTTAATGTTATAGTCCAAGGTCCCAGGGTTGACAGACGTCACTTATTTTCTGACGAACGAAATGTTTAAAATTGACTCAATGTTGTTGTGTTAGTATCTACTAAGATCGGCTGCCTACCTGCTAGCTTGGCCAGTGGGACAGTTTCCAGGTATCAGGTAATCAAGATACGTAAAAACATTGCTCACCTCACAGTAATTCTCCCAGCTGATTTTTACGTATATATGTTAGCTAATATCGTTAAAAATCGTATAAACTTCTTCGCGCGCGCGCTTCGAAGCAACTTCCTTTTAAGGGCTGATCTGATGAACAAGAAGTACGTTGGGATATGTTTCCAAACAACTAAAACAATTGTTTCAATCAACAACTAAATTCTCTGAAATATGTGTGTGTTTGTGATAGATGTTTTTCTCTAAGTTTCACATAAATGACCGCAATTTGACATTATTATATAGAAATTAGGTTATTATTTAAAAATAAGAATAGAACAAGTGTAATGAACTATTACTACAAGTATAAAAGAAAATTTACCGCATATATACGACAGGCCACGCAGAAAGTTTTGACGAAAAGAAAGTTGTTTATCTCTGAGTAATTGGCAAGCTTATAAACTATTTTTAAATTGTGATTACTTACAAGTAAAATACGAATGTTACATACGACGCCTACCAAAGCGAAGTGATCGAGAAGCGCAGGGAAGATTTTGAACGCTAGTCTTTTTTTTACTAACGGGGTATCACGCAACAATTTCTTTATGAAATCAAAGAAGCATCAATGCTGAAATATATAATACCAAATGCTTGCCAGAAGTTATCACGGCTGTGAGCAATAAGCGAACGAACATGGCACTCCAGGAGGGACTACTACTTCGCCATAACAAAGCGTCCGCGCATTCGATCCTCAAAATGAGTCTTTGAGGACAGCACACTAGTTAAGTTTTTGGCTCACCAACCTACTTGATTTGGCATTGTGTGACTTCCTTTTATTGCCTAAAATAAAATAAAAATGTATTTTAAAGAATACAGATTTCATGTGCTAACAGCGTTCGAGCAGGACGTAACAGAGGTGTCTGAGGCGGACACGAAAAAGTGTTTTAAAAATTGGAGAAGGCGCAATGTCACTTTGTTTAGTCGCTGGTGCACACTTCTTCAAGTAGATTTATGAATCTATCATACAGAAGCCGTTCAAGCGTTCCACCTTCGCGTTCTGCGTTCGTTGTGTTGTATTTGTATTACGTTACATAGACATACCCAAACAGCAGGTGTTCTGACCGCGTCGGTTAACCAGAACGCACGCGTTCGCGCGTTCACTGCTGTTTCGGTGTCCACATCGGAAGGAAGATGGAGACCGAGAAGTTGATTATGTTAGTACGAGGAAGGTGTTTTTTATATCATGTGAAGAATGATGATTATAAAAACCGAGGAAAAGTAGCAGAAGCATGGTGAGAAATTGCTAGAGACAGAAATGGGGACCGAAAATGAATTATAAAAAAAAATCATCAGTAAGCCATTTACAAAATAGTCTATGAAATTCTCCATATTGTTCTCTATACTTATTTACTGGGCGCACCCAATGTTTCCTTCTTTTTGATGTTGCTAATGTCCACAATATAAATAATTCGTCCACCGATGAAGAACTATAGTCAAAAAACATGGTGACTGTAGTGGGACCGCGTAGACCGTCTTCAGCGGGAATAGCGGGATTCGTGGGCAACTGAACGCTTGAACGCAGAACGCGAACGCGAAACGCTTGAACGCGTGACCGTTTCCCGTCTTATTGAACCCGCAATAATTTTTTAAGCTTAGAACTTTTTTAATTTTGCAAAACTTTCTGAGTGGCACCACGCATCCAATTGCTGGGCTCATGCCGCTCATTACTAAGAAGGGTTTAAACCAAGAAAGTGCCTGGGCGTTGAATATTTTTTTTATTTTTATGACAGGCAGGTTTCCTCATTTTCTTCACTGTCGAGCATGTGGTAAATAAACACTCATTACAGCCCATCACAACTCCACTGCTGAACATGGGGCACGTTTCATAAACCTTTACATTTGTCATTAACTAGTTACCTCTGGTTTAGTACAAATATAGATTATGTTTATATGTTATACACATTGCAACAGTCTAAAGAGCAGATAAGAAGTTAAGATCATTGTGTGAAGTTTCAATTTAAAGTAATTTAAAGTAAAAATCTTTAATTTTTCTAATCTTCAAGTTTAGTGCTCAATTTTTAGATTAGATATAATTTTAAACATTTTGCTCGTCCTGAATAGAGTTGTTTTGTGGGCAAAATATTAGTCTCTCCCATTGTAACGGGGATTTGCCTAAACCATGGAACAGTATAATAGTAGGTACTACGTACCTAAACCGTCAAGCTTGGCAGGCGGTTTGACGATCGCAGCACTAGTCATATTGCACCTTAGCATTCATTCTAAAACCTTATTTGGTTTTCCCATCCTCGTGGTTAGATTCTCAGATCATACATAATATATCAATTATAACCGCGTAGTGGCTGTGTAAGAATACACATAATACCGTCCCGTGGGGGTCGTAAGACGCGATGGAGGAAAACAAACCAGTAAATGGGCAGCATTGTCTTCTTACAACAACTAATAAATTAAAACACCTCGGTTGCCTACTCGCTTTCCAAGCTTAGCAGCTATGGCAAATTTCCCCTAGACTGAGACAACCCCTAAAGGTAACTATTATGTTCAGCAGTGGAATTTAGATAGGCTGTAACGATAACATGTCAATTAAAATAAACTGTTTTGTTATATACAGTGCATGTTAAGACTTTCTACAGCAAACTATAAATTTGACAAGTCATGATAGCTTCAGGTGAAACGACGAAGTCTTCTAGATTTCTGGGTTATTGGTTAATTCCAGAAACTACTTTTCCATGAAATACCATAAACACCGCTAGGGTGAGCGGTAATTAAAACAAATTGTTATATAAAGTAACCGTTCCTATTATGTATACCAGCTACACTAGGCACACACATATTTTTTCAGTAGTTCGAATGCCGAATACCACAAATTCTCCTTGGGTCCAGCTGTGGACTGTTGAGAGGATGTAACACCCAGTATTGGACAAATTATTATCGTTAATTTCCCCTCTGTTTGGCAAACGCTATAGAAGACCTGGAGAAAACTTCATTTAACGTTCTCTCTTTGTAAATAATTGAACACTGGATAAATAAATAAAAAATGCCACAAATGTTTTTACACAAATTGTTAAAGGCTGAAATATATAATTTAAAACCAGAGTAAGATTTATGGCTAATTATGCAAATATTTTAAAACTATTAATAACACGAGTGTATTTTTAATAACATAATAATATTTCCATTACAATATAGGTAACTTTTTTCGAGCATTCAACCTGTTTGCTTTCAAATTGCTATTTTTTATGTGTACATACAATCGATTTATAGGATAACAATAGATCTTTTGTTGTTGTTTTTTTTTTACAATTTTTGCCTACTTCCCCTGAATTCGCGTACCGTGTCAATCGCTTCAGCTTCACCCTCTTTCGAGGGCAACAGCCCCTGTTGCGCACGAGTCAAATCAATAATGCAACAGAGCGGGACTAGGTTACCCCAGTTCATATAATATTCATTCTCTTAGTCTCAGTCGAAGTATATACAGCGCGTAACGCGGACTCTTATCGTTTTTATTGTTTTTCGGAAAGTAATTCCGCGATTACAACAGCGTTGCGTATCATGCATTGGTACGTTCAGGTGTGCTTACCGAGAATTTTATTTTGAGATTTTCATTACACTACTTTTGTTCATAACGCGCGGTCTTCACCACATAACTCGCACACAAGAGTCGTGTTGAGGCCTTCGAACGAGGCTTAATTTAGGATTGTTTAATTTCTAATGCGCGAATATACATTTAAAATAATTGTCGCTTGACGTTCGATTTATTGTACATATTAATCGTCAATTTTTTTTTAAAATAATGAGCGTATCATTGGTATGGCTGCGCAGGTTGCCGAAGGAGGAGATAGCGGCGCGTGTTGCCGCCTTCAGAGCGAAGCTTTCGGAATCGAGCAGTGGAGACAAGGACGTGCCCAGGGACGAATTTGGAAGGGTAGCGTGAGTATTGCTTACAATATTAACATCTTTAATCGGCTAATCACATATTAGTTTAACACTATTCAATTATAATCGACTGTTCTTAATATGAAATGATAGAACCCTATTTAGTAATAAAAACAACAAATCTTTATTTAACTTAATTACTACACAAGGAATTTCTTCGGTAACGTGCAATTGTTTTACATTCATAAATTGAGCATGGACAAAAACCCAAATCAGAAATTTTTGTAGGCCATATGTGCCGTGCGAAAATGGAAGCTCCGGCTCATTGCACCACATGCTTAAAGCCTAGTGGCGCTGAGCCGTTAAATTGATAGAAATAAAAATTGCAGGGAACTTAGGCAAAAATCATTTTTTAGACGGATGCCGGATTAATGTAGGTATCTGTATGACCAGTCGATATTTAAGAATTATTCGTATGCAATAATTGTTGTAAACTTGTAAATATTGCACTTATTATGCCGCCTGTCCCTCTTTCAAATTTAATAAAAGTATACAATTGAAACATTGTTACGTTACTATAGTAAGTTTGAAGAAAAATCTACGGCATATAAATAAGTAACAACGATTTATCCCATCCTTGAAGATTACTCTGAAAAACACTTAGTTGGGTTCGAATAGACTCGAATTTATATTATTGATAAAAAATTATGTCGTGGATGAGAAATATTAAACTAATGAATATGTACTCTACTACTAATGCTTAAGGAAATGTGTTGCCTCTATTCGTCCCTTTGGTTGTCGTAATTGGCATCAGAATGATAGGCAGTAAATGTATAACGTATCGCTTACGTGCATACGTCTGACGTAGAAACCAGACCAACGACGAGCAGCAGCGTCAAAGGTGGAAGACGTCTGGTACTGCGATCGTCAAATTCGCTTGCCAAGCGTGAATGAGGGCTAATAATTTTCTGCTCACCAGATGTCGCTAGTTGACACTAAGGTAGTTTTTTGTTACACAATGTAATTTAATCGAGAAGTTGTTTTTTAATAAAAGTTTATCAGTTTCTAGAGTATTATATTAATACACAAAACAATGCGTGAGTGGTTTGCTCTTTAATTTTTTGCACATTTTTTTAATTTTTAACTTATTTTTTCACTTCCCATTTTTATGAATATCTGTGGTTTGGTTTATTTATTTTTAATGTTATTAATATAAAATATAGCTAATAGTACAAAAAGAAACAGTAACTTTTACATTTTCAACACCTCACTTTCTAGTGGCGCCACCCTGGTGGCAAAAAAAGTCGTGGATGCCCTCATTGAGAGCTCATTTTGATTGAGAACATTGAATCAATGTATGCAAGCACTGCATCGGGATTTTTTAATTCTATTCCACAAATTTCATAGTTTTAATAATTAAATGCATTTAATTAAAAACTAAAACGCTTACTTGGGGGAAATCGGAACATATAGACAAAGAGGATTCATATATTTCAGAGCACTATTAATAGTGTATAGGGGAGTCCCATGTTCACCTGCGTACTTGTGGCCTGTAATGATTATGATGATACTCATCGTTGTACCATACGATATGGTATATGTATGTAGTATATACCTTATGAAGTATGTTCGCCTGGCCTATGTTGACACAGCTTCAACTTCCGGTAACATCGGAATTTAATAACTACCAAGAAATACTCTTTTTCTTGTTTACCTATGACAGATGTAACGCTGAAGCATTTATGTTGAGCTAATATGCATTATCAGAAAATCGGGGACCATCTAGACCTGTTTAACGAAAAAAAAATTCTCACTAAAGTCCGCTTCAGTTGGGATTCGATCCCAGTACCCAAGGGATAGAAGATATCCACATGCACTGAACACTAACACAAGGTTCATTGCGTAGGTCAAGCCCAACCCGTAATGCCAAGTTATCGGACGACGATATTAAAATCGGACGCAATTAATTTCTCTGGCAATTATAAATCGCGTAATCGATTGGAGCCGCCGCACGGGCACGTACAAACGTCGAGAGTAAACAAGCGGCGGGAAATCAACGCAAAATCTATTTATAAATAGTAAAAAATAGATGCGCTGTTTTATTTCCATTCTGTATTTTTACTCGGTTCATTTCGTATTGTTTTAGTAGTAAAACACTATCTTGTAATTTATGTTCGTTTTGCTTGCGTTTATAAAGATGATATTCTTGGACTATGGTCCAATTTCTTCCTCAGCCACACGATAGTGATCACTAGTGATTGTGATAGTGAATTACATTGAAGTAATATGTACTACATACTAGAAGAGACGCCTAGACTTAGTCATTTCACGGCTCAAATTTACTTATTCTCTGCCATAAACAAATGGGTCGGCTCGACCGGGGAACCTATAACTATGCTAATATGTTACGTTGGTATTCTATAAGAGCGAGATCCATTCCCGGATAAGCCAACCTAGCAGCCACAATACAGCTGCACCGTTGCTCTACCGAGTTAAAAAGCCATTCCCAGCTGTCTACTATTTACTGGTTGATGACCACTGAATGTTGAATACTGTTAAGTACTTGGGTGACCGAGCTGTACGGGGCGTTATAAAACAAATAGTTTTCTCGAGGATGAAACATATCTAGATAAACTTGGAAATTAAAACATCTAAATACAAAATTTTATGCAAATTTTTGCGAGCTTTTTCCGAGAAACCATTTTTCATAGAATCAGGGTGATAAACGAGCATACAAACCATCTGATGGTAAGTGGATGCTGTAGTCCATAGACATCAAGAATCAAAATTAAGATGCGTTGCTACCCCTGAGGACTAAGTTGGAATGCCTCGTTTCCAGTAAAAAGAGTCTCCGGTTCCCTACACTCACCATACGAACACAGCGGCATTGAGCTACTATTTTCCGCTGGTAAGCGTGGTCCTACTCCGGTCGAGCCTACCCATTCTCATATATAGAGTATATTATATATAATACACCTATATATAATATACTCTATATAATACACCTATACAAGAATTGCTTACTTAAAGTATAGGATAATGTGAAGATATAACTAACTAAGAGCAGGAAAAGTTCTGAGAACATCGAAACATCAATTTGAATGCAAATATTTGCCATTTCTCTCTCTTTGTATTGTCAAAATAACAGATTTTTACTAAATGCATATGAAAGTATGTAGGTACGGTGCTTTTTTTTTATAGGATAAGGGTGACAAACGAGCACACAGTCCACCTGATGGTAAGTGGTTGCTGCGGCCCATAGACATCTACATCTATCCTCGTTTGCGAATCAAAATGCAAATGCGTTGTCACCCGTGAGGACTAAGATGGAATGCCTCATATCCAGTAAAAAGGGCCCAACACAATTTATAACAAAAATACAATATTTTAATTTTTTGGCTGTTTGTTCCGACTGATCTCCGAAATGGCTGGACCGATTTTGACGGAACTCTCACTGGCAGATAGCCGAAGTTATAAGGAGTAACTTCGGCTACTTTTATTTTAGAAATAGAAGAAGGGTTTAGCGCAAAAAATTAAAACTCATGAAATTCAATTGTAATAAATTACACGGGGGCGAAGTCGCGGGGAACATATAATAATTGTATAATTAAATTTACTTTAAAGGCTTTGTAACTTTTTGTCGATTTTGAGAAGTGTTCCGAAGAAATTGTTCAGATTAATAATCCCAATCGTTAAGTTCAACTATCGCACATCGCGGCAAAATTTTCAATACCATCCACACAATGTGGATGCTTGGCGGTGGTCCACCACTGTCAGAAGTTTTCTTCCTCGCATGACTGCTTTGTGTGATCAGCCATCACCAAAGATTTTCCGGACCGATACGACTTAGGGACCTTCAAGAAAAGAGTCTTTTTCTTTTTACAGGTGGATAGTCAATCCACCTGTAATTTCTTTGGTGTTGTTGCGGTTGTTATTGGCAGACGGTAGTCACTTACAAAAAATATCTTTCAAAACTTATGTAGGATTTTATAACCAACAACTTTGTCCATATAGTTGTTTACATCAATATGCTAAATATAGACGCCAACAATGTAAAAAAAAATATTAGTATTAGATACAAAACCTACAATAAAATAATATTAACAATGCCCAAAAATACTAAATTTTTTGTCGGTTAGGTTAATATGATATTCATACCACCGTGTAGGCAAATGTACGTTTGTTACCTTATAGTGTAATATTTTCAATAATAATAGTAGATGTATGTATGTATTTCTACGCAAACTTTTCCAATTAGAGTTTTTTATAATTTAATCCGGCCTATCCATCGATTGTCACGACTCCCCTGTTTGATTCGCTTTGAGGGAATGAGGCAATGAACTGTGTACTAACCGTAACGCATAATGTAACTGGGGTTCTTGGTTCTTGCGTATCGATCGACAGCGGACATATTAAAGGGCCACCCCACACCCTCGCTAAGAAGGTTTAAAATACGCTACTTCAATAATAGCTGTGCAGTGACATTTATCTCATAACAAAGGGCTGTTAAGAGGTAATAATGTCGTGTTGTCAGTTGAACTAGATCCTTTATAAGTGCTAATATGTGTTTAGAAATTCAACAAAGTTTTTAATGGAAATTATATTATTTAATTAATCGAAGTGCCGGCCATTACTGTTGATGCCATCCATCTATGTATGGCATAATATATGTTAGCCGAGGTTACCACGCTTGGCAAGCTGGTTGGCAACCGCAGTTTATCATTTCAGTTGTTATAGGGATGGGCTGATGTCCATATCATGTTTCATTTTCTTTGTCGTCTCTTACGTCGCTCATGGGCTGATATAGGGTAGTAGATCATCTTACGCCATCATAAAGAAATGTATTAGTCACATTCATCACCCATTGTAGAATTCTATTTTAAAATTCTCAATAACATAAACACTATGAAAAATTGTAAAAGGAAGTAGATCAGAAGTAACCCAAAAAACGGGGCCAAGCTTTTTTCTACACTAAAACAAAGCCGCTTGACACGGTGACCCGTAACTAGTGCGCCCTTCGGCTCCCTCTTATTGCAAAAACCCTTGTTACCTGT